AGGAGAGAGAGGAAGGAAGGACGGAGGCAGGGAAGGAAGGAAAAAAGAAAGGGGGGACGGAAGGAGGATAGGAAGGAAAGAAAGAGGGAGTGGGGACGGAAATAAGGAAAGACAGAGGAAGGAAAGAAGGAGGGAAAGAGGGACTTAGGAACAAGTAAGGATGAAACACTCCTTAAACATTTCTTCCTGGGGTCATCATCTTCCTCACATACAATCTTTAATTCCCAGACGTTACCTACTCCTTCTCTTCCTCTTCCTCCTCCTCCTTCTCTTCTACCTCCAATTCGCTTTCATTGCCCTTTAGTTACTGTTGTTTGGGGTCGTCTCCTTTCCCTTAACTCCCCCCTTCCCCTCCCTCCTTCCCCTCCCATCACCCTCCCCCCTTCCCCTCCCTCCTCCCCGCCTCCCCTTACCCCTTCTAATCTCTCCTCACTGCCAATCACTTTACCCATTAAATACGATTGGAAAGAGGGTGGGGGGGGGTGTTATCCTGCCTGTTCCACTCCTTCAGTACCGCCAACTTCTCTCTATCTCTCTCTGTTTTTTTCTCTCTGCATCTCTCGTTCTCTCTATGTTTCTCTGTTTCTCTCTATCTATATCTCTCTCTCTTTCTCTCTATATCTCTGTTTTTCTCTCTCTCATTCTTTCTATATCCTTCTGTCTCTCTCTCTCTCTCTCTCTCTCTATCTACCCAACTATCTATCCATCGCTATCTCTCTCTCTCTTTTTCTCTCTATATCTCTGTTTTCTCTCTCTCTATCTCTATCTCTATCTCTCTCTCTCAGACACGAGTATAGTGAGGATGTGCTCTCAGGCAGTGTGGGGTTGAGTCTATGATCTGGTAATCGCATGCGACGCTGTGCCCGCCCCATCTGGTGTCTCCCTACCACTGACACACCCCATATTCACACCCTCTCTGGGGAGCTTCCTCGCCTCCCCAGAGAGATACACATCACCCCTGAAACACACACGTACGTAGGATATCACCCAGGAGGAGGTGATACATCTCCTGTGGGTGTAAGAGTGGTGTTTGTATCAAAGCAGAGTGGAGGGGAGATGTTTTAACCAGAGGCCAGACTCACCCAGGCTCGACCACAAGGTAGCTCTGGTAAAAAATTTCCCGACGGTGTTGCCAAGTTAATTACCTGATAAATGATGGCCTACCTGTGCACACCTGTTACCAATTTTATTTTTTCCGGGAGTGGATTTTTTTATTTTATTTTGTTTAATAAGAATATTTATTTTACCGATGATTAATACTCTAGAAATAAAAATCAATCAGGTTAACGACACTATATTCAAGAGAGTAAAATGTGATTATCTGAAAAGTTCCTCCGCTATAGGTATTCAAATTAAATGTTTTTCTTGTTCCATTTAAACTCTTAAGAGGCTTTAAATATCTCATCAATCAACTCATCAACTCAAACTATAATGTAGATTACGCTATACGCTATATATTAAATCAGGTTTATATACTTGGAGTTCTAATTTGGTATATATTGAGTGTTTGTTAGTAGAGTTGTGTTTATGTTTAAAGTAGTACGTGATTTGTAACAGAGAGAAGTTATATTTCGGGAGGAGGAATTTTTTATTATAACATTTACGTTGTTTATGAAGAAGAAATGAATTGATAATGAAGCAAAAACCTGTGTGTGTGTGTGTGTGTGTGTGTGTGTGTGTGTGTGTGTGTGTGTGTGTGTGTGCGATACCGAATTACAGGACTTAATTACAGAGAACGGAAAACAATATTGGCACAGCTATTAGAAGAACTGCATTACTAAAATTGAAAACTCTACTTTGTTAAAGGTTTATTAGTACTGTTTTCTGAGGAGCTGATTCAAAGTAGCGTCAAGGTGGAGATGGTGTTTGATGCTTCGTTAAATGGTACAGGTGGAACTTAGTCACACCTGTTTGAACACCTGGTGGACGTGAATTTTCGTGGTAATGGAAAATGTCACAAAAAGTAAAGTAGCTCGTCTTATTTCCAAGCTGAGACCCACAAGACAAGGCCCCACAGCGTTGCTCTCCCCAACACCCGCCCCGGGACACCAACAAGAGACACTCGTACAAGGAAGAGAAACTTTCACACCACTCTATTCTTCCCGCACCTGAACACGTCCTCCAGTCCTGTAGTGGAATAAGACACGAAAAAAAAAAAAACTACAAATTGGACTGCCGCCGTTGACATAAAGGTGAGTTCAATATTTAGACTAGCAGACAATAGCCCTGGAAAGCCCAAGAGTCTCGGACAACCATGGCCCCACAAAGAACCTGTGTTAATTATCCAAGGCCTCTATTACTCCGGCTAAAATATTGACAACCAATGGCACAGCGGATGTGTCGCGGTCCTCTCGTGTCACAATGTTTGGGACGACGTCGTTCATCTTAGTCGCTGTTTTTTTTTTCTTTCTTATGTTTTTATTATACAGCGGATGTTTGGGTTTTGTTCTTCGTGGGGTCGTATTAAAACACCTGGATATTTACTGATGACTGAACACATAAACTCATAAAAATGGACAAAAGGAATTAAATTCTCTGCTTGATAAAAATCTTGTCGAAGAAACTTAATAAAAAAAAGTCTTTTCCAAATGAAAACTGAGCGGTAGAAAATGTGTTTTTGAAGGAGAGGAGAAGGGCAGCAGAGTCTTAGAGCCATTCTTTTATTGGCCTATAGTGCACTGAAACAAAAACTATTGTGTCCCCAAACCTCGGTTAGACGAATTGCTCCCTAAGACAACGTTCCAGGGCCTTGGGGGACCTCCCGGACGGTGATCCTGACCTGAGGGTTGGCCGGTCTCTGAGTCAGGTGGCCGCTGTATACCAGAATCATAAAGGTGGTCATATTTACCGAGGTCTACATATATGGTGGGTAGTGTTACACGGGAAGCTGGTCTGTAGGGACAACACTGCCGGTACACTACTTAAAAAAAAAAAAAACTTTTCGTAGATTACTTCAGGGACTCTCATAAGGCTTCTTTTTTGCTCTTCTTTATTATACTCTTCATTCTTTCCCATTTTCTGTTTATTATTTTGTTCGAGTTTTCTATTCTTGTTCGTATATATAAAAAGAAAACATATGTACCTTTTCTTACCATTCCTTTGTCAATTATTAACAAAAAAAACCTTTCCTTTCTTCTCTTATCTCATTAATATTCAGTAACTTCACGTCTTCGGATTTTTTTTTCTTTTTTAGGGGGGGAATAATATTTTACCGTTTAATTTTTTTTCCAATAAGTTTAGTTTGTTTATCATACAATATAGAGACTGTGCTCACATTAGGTTTATGCTCGTTAAGTGTGAGGTGTGTGTGTGTGTGTGTGTGTGTGTGTGTGTGTGTGTGTGTGTGTGGCAGCAGGAGTGTATATATATATATTAGTTGTCCTGTATTGATACCATTGATCGCCCGTGTAAACTTCCACTGTGCGATACGTATGGATTTCCTGTGTGAGGGAGGTCTTCGTATATTGATGTTAGTGATTGACTGTAGGACTCTCCGACTGTCAGCCTCCCGACACCTGACTGTTTTGACTGCCAGCTTGTCAATAACAGACTGTCAACTCTCCGTTCTTGACAACTGACTATCAAAGGTGTTAGTTACTTGAGTGTGATCTGACTGTTAACAGATTCCTCCTACCGGTCAAGTTAAACAGATACAGTTAACGTGCTTCCGGCTGAGTTATGACACCTGTTGTTTGGTAACTGTTGTGTACTGACTGTTTAGACTGTCAACTGAGTGGGTGAATACATTAGACTTACCAACTTATATTTATACCAATAAATGTTTTGTTTGTTCGATGTCTTAGTGATATTACCTTTATGTGCGTGTGTGTGTGTGTGTGTGTGTGTGTGTTTAAAGAAAAGTTTCGATATGTACTCTCAACCCAGTGGGCAAACATCCCCTCCCTCCCTCCCCTCCGTCAACACTCGCCAGGCGTTGAACCGTCCTCACTCCCTCCCTCCCTCACCCTAAAAACAGATTATCATGTTATAAATAATCTCCAAGATGCATATATCAGAAAAATGTTGTAAGAAGCACCAACTCCACAGAGGCTCCAGCTTCTGTACTGTTCTTTCATACGAAGCTGAATCGCCCGACACTTTCTCAATACTCCAGCGACCCGCATTATGAGTAGATGTCACTAATGAGGGATATATTTAAAAATGCTCTAATACCTGTTCTAATCACCTAAATTTGTTGCGGACTAAGACCTTCTTGCCCCGTGGATATCTTGAGCTAAACATTAATATGGTAAAAGCTTCCATGGGAACCACTTCCATTAACGATGACAAAGTGCCTCGATGGCACCCAGGCAAACAGCCTTCTGGCTCTCTCTAAACGCGTTTTGACACTTCTCTCCCCTTAGTTGTATTTTACATTGAAGACCTGTGAAGTGGGGGGAAGGGATGGGGGATTTTTTGCGTTGTCTGGTTCACGCCCCGTAAGTCCCCGGTGAGTGGGCGACAAAGGGGGACTCTTGGGATGCTTAAGTCAAAACAAATAATTCAGGTGGTGACAAAGATTGCCGGGTGTGAGGTTGGCGGCTATACATTAAGTTCACATACACACATCGTTGCCACTTAGCTCGAGACTGTATAAAGTGACTGGACTTGTATCAAGGAATGAGGACCTTGATCACCTCCTTTCCAGACCATAAAAGTGTCTTTAATCCTGTCGTAACTTGCTCTAAGGAGGAGGCGCAATTAAAAGTCAGAGAAAAAGGTATGAAAATGGAAAAGCCTCATAGATACTGTCGCTTACACACCCGTGTTGTTTCGCGCCATCAGCGGCCCTCGCTCAGACCTCGTGTCATATTTTCTTGGCGACCTCCACATGTGGCTGCGTCTTGGACCAATCAGCTAGACGGAGTAGCTCACATATTTGTAACAAAGCATCTTATTGGACAAGAAAATTTGTGGAGCTCCGCCCTACTTACTCAGCGATGATTTACCGGTACGGTGATTGGCCGAGGGGTTGGTAGGCGTGGCTTCTTGGTGGCTCAAGGGCGCATACTCGCCGCGCCACCTCTGTGGTGTAATATTACACTTGCCGCCTCACCGTCCATCATTCTTTTTGCGGTCGGCTAACAGCTCGCGACTCTGACCGTAGCGCGTGAGACAGTGACAACCATGAACCACGTTCCGTCACCCACCAGTGCCTCTCCTACTGGAGTGGCCTCCAAGAAGGAAGACCACATCAAGCGCCCCATGAACGCCTTCATGGTGTGGTCCCGCATGCAACGACGCAAGATTGCACAAGAAAATCCCAAGATGCACAACTCTGAAATCTCCAAACGATTAGGTTCTGAGTGGAAGCTGCTCACAGAGGCAGAGAAACGTCCCTTCATCGACGAGGCCAAACGACTCCGCGCCCAGCACATGAAGGAACACCCCGACTACAAGTATCGTCCCCGCAGGAAGCCCAAGACTCTTCAGAAGAACGGCTACAGCTTCCCACTTCCTTACTTGGCAACTTCAGCGCTGGACCCACTCGGGCCGCTCCACCAGACCTACTACTCGACGCCCGCCGTGCCCTCCCCGCTGGACGTTGCGGGGGACAAGTCTCGGCTCTTCCCCGGCGCTGGTTTCACTCACCACTTCTACCACGGCTTTGACCCGCAACACTTCAGTAAGTTGGCCGCCGCTCAGGACCACTACAAACCAATGACCTCTTTGGCTTGCAACGACTCCGCCGCTGCCGCCGCCGCCGCCAGCGTCTCCGCCGCCTCCATGGGCGGCATGTCAACAGTTTCAGCCTTGTACTCATCGCTGTACTCCAAGTCCGCATCATCCCTGCTGTCTGGTATGTCAGCGGGCTTAACCGGCGGGCAGCAAGCGCCGCAGACACAGCTCTACCCTGGATACCCACCCACCGTCGACCAGCTCCGCCGACCTGTGTCGGTCATCTTCTGAGACGACCAGCCACCGCGACCCGAGACACCGTAATGTACAGAAGGCCGCCAAGTGTACATAGTGTACAGTACAGTAGTGAAGAGTGGACACGATACACCCCGACCCTGCTGGGTTTAGTAAACTGTGTGTGGAGACAAACTCCGGGTGTAGTGTGAGAGCCTGGGTGTATGGCGGCCTATGTCGTGTCGTGGTGGTGTCATGCCAGGCAAGGTACCATAACAAGTCAGGTGTGGTGCCAGGTGTAGTGCCTGGTGTACTGCCATGTATTGTGTGTCAGTAGGTCGTGCGTGGCCTGTCTTGTGGCAATGTAAGTACTCTTATAGAGTTTCTGTTTCATGAAATTATTCCGTAAAGTGAATTATTTACCATGAAGTGTGACTTACATTGCTCCCGGACCCGATGTTAAATTAACCAAGTGTACAAGTGCGTCTAGACTAGTCTTTTGAAGCTCATCTATGGAATATATTTAACTTTTTGTTGTTTTATGTTGAATTATATGTGTCAACGTACTTTTGTACTATGTACATAACAGATGGCTGATGTTAATAATAATTATAATATTAATAATAATAATCGGTACAAGAATTACCCTCTCTTTTATTGGCCAATCCCTATTTCTATATTAATCCTAATGAATCCCAATCGGTTACATAAGTCATTCCCAATCATCAATGTGCAGTTATACAGCGAGATGGACTTGGTTAGTCAGTAATGAATGAACCGTCCCATACAATATGACGCCCTCAGTAGATCCAAGAGTCTGTATCACTGCTTTATACTCACAACCAAGTGTTATCGCTCAACCCTCAATAATCTCCAGCACTGAGTGAAAATTTCTGGCGCTTTGGATTTTTTTAGTAATATTATTGGTTAATTATTTCCAGGGACGAGAATTTCCAAAGCGCTGGGTGATAATCTCCTAGCGCTGGTAGATGCTGATTGATAATTTATGATAACTGATAATCTCTAGCGATTACTGAATATATGTTACATTAAACAATAATCTCTGGCGATAACGAAACAAAATTCTAACGCTGACTGATACTCCCTGACGATGGCAGATAATTCCTAGCGCTAACAGATAATCTCCAGCGTTGACATATAATCTCTGGCGTTGGATATTAATCTCTGGTGCTAACTGATTATCTCAAGCGCTAACCGATTATTTCTAACACAGAGTAATAATCTCTAGCGCTAACAGCTAACCTCTTGAATTGCTTAATAATTTATGGCGCTGATAAATAATTGCTAGCGCTGACAAATAGTTTTTGGCGCTGACTAAGGAACTCTGGCGATAATATATAATCTCTAGCTCTAATTAATTAACAAAAAAGGTCAATTATCTCCAGCGCTGAGTGTTAAAATAAAACACACCAAAAAGATAAAAACAAATTAACTCTGAATGATAATAATTTCTGGAACCTAAGAAATTATATAAGCTAAAAAAATAATCTCCGGCGCTGGGAAATAATACACGTCGGAGATTAATGTGAGATAGAGGGAGGAGGAGGAGGAAGGGGGGGGGGGTTAAGTGGCGTAGGGGAGGATGATTCCCTTCTGAATTATTCACGAGAGGAATAATTAGGATTATAGCTATCAAGGGCCGGGATAATCCTCACGAGGGTAATTATGTTACATTAACTAACTACTTGACACTAATACGTGACGTCATCCAGGAATTACAGGACATACATACATACATCCATCCATACATAAATACATACATACATACATACATACATACATACATACATACATACATACATACAAACAAATAAAACTCACCTGTTCTACCTACAATATATCTGAGGTAATTAAGGTATTAAATTAAGTCAGGTAATTTAGCAACACCTGTGTATTAATTAGACAATACACTATACGGTAACCAGGTGTAATGACCAACTTATACTATGACTATGTATTGGTGTTATACATACACGTATATGTATAGACAAATACATAAACACACATTAATCTCAATTTAACACTATGTATAAATATGTATATATGCTCTTCCTTAATCCTAGATAGAAGAAAAACTATCTATACATTATACATGAGTTATACATGAGAAACTTTATGTATACTTCATCGTCTGTGTTACACCTTTTAATTAAACCTGAAATTAGGCAAATAATATGGAAAGAGAACTCAGTAACATAGCTAACGGATTCTATACTATTTTATGATTCTTTTACAAACTACTACGGTAACATAATAAGAGAGAGAGAGAGAGAGAGAGAGAGAGAGAGAGAGAGAGAGAGAGAGACACTACCAGTTAATCAGCAAAAATTATCACCAAATTCTATGACGCAGTACCATTACAAACTACTAAGTAAACAGACGGTAATAATAATGACGATCTGAGACTCAAGTATAAAGTCATTCGATTCAATCAGCAACACTCGTAATGTAACAATTATTATCCATCCCAGATTAACTAACAAGGAGCCAAGGGATGTTACGTAAGGGGGGTTTAACGACACGGAACGGCCAGTCAGTAGCAGTAACTAGTAGTAGTAGTAGTAGTAGTAGTAGTAGTAGTAGTAGTAGTAGTAGGGGGAGGTAGTAGCAGGAATCAACAGTTGCAGTAATAGTTAGTAGTAGTGATAGGTATGATAGTAGCAGCAGAAGTAGTCAGAAGTAGTAGTGGTAGGTAACCATAGAAGCAACAGTGACAATCAGTAGCGGCAGTAGAAGTAGGTAGTTAGTAACAGCGGCAGTAGTAGCATTATTAGCGGTAGGTAGTAGCAGAATGTAGTCAGTAGCAGCAGCGTCAGCAGTAACAGTAGCAGTAGGTAGTCAGTAGCAGCAGCGTCAGCAGTAACAGTAGCAGTAGGTAGTCAGTAGCAGCAGCGTCAGCAGTAACAGTAGCAGTAGGTAGTCAGTAGCAGCAGCGTCAGCAGTAACAGTAGCAGTAGGTAGTCAGTAGCAGCGTCAGCAGTAACAGTAGCAGTAGGTAGTCAGTAGCAGCAGCGTCAGTGCAATAGAAGCAGTAGGTAGTCAGTAGCAGCAGCACAGTAAGGCAACAGTAATGGGTGATCAGCAGCAGCAGCAACAGTAACAGTAGCAGTAGGTAGTCAGCAGCAGCAGCGTCAGCAGTAGTTGGTGCAACAGAGGTAGTCAGCAGCAGCAGCGTCAGCAGTAACAGTAGCAGTAGGTAGTCAGTAACAGTAGCAGCAGCGTCAGCAGTAACAGTAGCAGTAGGTAGTCAGTAGCAGCAGCGTCAGCAGTAACAGTAGCAGTAGGTAGTCAGTAGCAGCAGCGTCAGCAGTAACAGTAGTAGTAGGTAGTCAGTAGCAGCAGCGTCAGCAGTAACAGTAGCAGTAGGTAGTCAGTAGCAGCAGCGTCAGCAGTAACAGTAGTAGTAGGTAGTCAGTAGCAGTAGCGGCAACAGTAGGTAGTCAGTAGCAGTAGCGGCAACAGTAGGTAGTCAGTAGCAGTAGCGGCAACAGTAGGTAGTCAGTAGCAGTAGCGGCAACAGTAGGTAGTCAGTAGCAGTAGCGGCAGCAGTAGGTAGTCAGTAGCACTAGTGGCAGTAGCAGCAGTAGCGGTAGGCAGTAGCAGTAGGTATAGTCAGTAACAACAGCATGGCAGTCGTAGCAGTATTAACGGTAGGTAGTAGCAATAGTGATAGTCAGTCGTAACATCAGCTGCAATCAGTAGCACTAGTAGCAATAACAAACATCAGAAGCAGTTAGCCTTAATATCGACAATCAGTAACAAAAGTAAAAGCAGCAGTAACAGTCAATAACAGTAACTGACAGTAACAATCAATAACAGTAACTGACAGTAACAGTCAATAACAGTAACTAACAGTAACATTCAATAACAGTAGCTAACAGTAACAGTCAATAACAGTAACTAACAGTAACAATCAATAACAGTAACAGTCAATAACAGTAACTAACAGTAACAGTCAATAACAGTAACTGTCAATAACAGTAACAGTCAATAACAGTAACTAACAGTAGCAGTAAATAACAGTAACAGTCAATAATAGTAACTAACAGTAACAGTAGCTAACAGTAACAGTCAATAACAGTAACTAACAGTAACAATCAATAACAGTAACAGTCAATAATAGTAACTAACAGCAACAGTCAATAACAGTAACAGTCAAAAACAGTAACAGCCAATAACAGTAACAGTCAATAACAGTAACAGTCAATAACAGTAACAGTCAATAACAGTAACAGTCAAAAACAGTAACAGCCAATAACAGTAACAGTAGCTAACAGTAACAGTCAATAATAGTAACTAACAGCAACAGTCAATAACAGTAACAGTCAATAACAGTAACTAACAGTAACAGTCAATAACTGTAACAGTCAATACCAGTAACAGTCAATAACAGTAACAGTAATAACACTAACAGTCAATAACACTAACAGTCAATAATAGTAACAGTCAATAACACTAACAGTCAATAACAGTAACAGTCAATAACACTTACAGTCAATAACAGTAACAGTCAATAACACTAACAGTCAATAACACTAACAGTCAATAACAGTAACAGTCAATAACAGTAACAGTCAACAACACAAACAGTCAATAACAGTAACAGTCAATAACAGTAACAGTCAATAACAATAACAGTCAATAACAGTAACAGTCAATAACACTAACAGTCAATAACAGTAACAGTCAATAACACTAACAGTCAATAACAGTAACAGTCAATAACACTAACAGTCAATAACAGTAACAGTCAATAACACTAACAGTCAATAACAGTAACAGTCAATAACACTAACAGTCAATAACAGTAACAGTCAATAACACTAACAGTCAATAACAGTAACAGTCAATAACAGTAACAGTCAATAACAGTAACAGTCAATAACAGTAACAGTCAATAACACTAACAGTCAATAACACTAACAGTCAATAACAGTAACAGTCAATAACACTAACAGTCAATAACACTAACAGTCAATAACACTAACAGTCAATAACAGTAACAGTCAATAACAGTAACAGTAACAGTACCCCAAAATAACCAGAAAAAAAAACCAGAGGGTTGTCATCGGAGACTCACTCAACCAAACAAGAATGTAATACCTTAGTAATCCTTCCAGTTGTGTAATATAATCAATAGACGACACTTCCAGTACGCTGCGGTGTTGAATAATCGATATAATCCGCTATAATCTTCCCCCCCCCCTTTATTCCCTTCCCCCTTTTTTTTTCCTCCCATCTCCTTCTTCTTTTCTCCTATTATTGTCCTTCTTTATCGCCTCTTCTGTTTCTCCATCTCCGCGGAAAGAGAATCTCTGCGGGAGGGATTGTGTGTGTGAGAGAGAGAGAGAGAGAGAGAGAGAGAGAGAGGAGGGATAAGCTGACGTTTTCATTTTTTTTATTATTTTTGATTTTTATTTATATATATATATTTTTGGGGCCTAAGGATGAAGTGTTATGGCTTTCGAACGTGTGTGTGTGTGTGTGTGTGTGTGTGTGTGTGTGTGTGTGTGTATGTGTGTCTACATGTCACCACTCACTCACTCCTTTCACTCAACATGTCACTCAAAAAAAAAAAAAATCCAAACGATAACATTTAATTGATATTCTGAATATTTTAAAAA